CGGACCCTTGCCATGCTTTTCCTGAGGTGGGTCCCGGCCTATCTCAGAAACACATAGGACATTGGCTGGGACACGAGACTCAAAAAACAGACAACAGAGATTGAGAGATTGATGCTAACAATTGTTCTGATTGTTTCTCTGATAACTTATGAAGCAGACGTGTGGTATCTTGAGGTGCTGATGTGAAGAAGTGATCACCGCTGACACGTCTTTACTTGCAATCAAAAAGAAGTTTATTTACAAGAAAGAAACAGTGTCTAAAATGCCGAATCCTGGAGCATCTCTGTCAATGTGAGATCTCTCCTTGCCGTCTCACAAACCCCTCTATTTATCTGTCTCATCCCACCTTTGGGATGTGCCTTTCTTTTAATAGAAGGGCCTTCACACAAATGGTCGACCATATCTGGTCGATGACCTCTGGTCTCTAACCTCTTAACCTTTCAGTCCAAAAAAGGACCCACACATCCTGAGTGTCTTATATAGTAGGAGACAGAAAACCTGAGGAGTAAGCAGATTTACCCTAATGCACATTCCTTAAACTTAACTTATAATGTATAGTTTCAAGGAAACCTTTGATAAAACCTTAGTTGACACCCTTCTTTAACTTATTAATAAAACTTACATAAAGGAAGAACCTACAACAATTTAGACTGTTGAAAGAGGAAGAAATGAAGTGGATAATACACTACAGACGTTCAGCAGGTTTTTACCAGCAGCTGAATCATCCACAGAGGTGTCCTCCTCTCCATAACAAACACACCAGGGGATTAAAACCTGTAGAAACACCCATGAAGCAGTTTGACTTTAAAACTCAGAGATTCAGCGACGCTCTTCAGTGACACAGGACAGGACGTCTCCAGCAGCTGGGAGCTGAGCTGTCTAACATTTCCTCAGCTTGTTTCTCTGATAACTTCAGATCCAGACGTCCGACGACTAAAATCCTTCATCTGGTTCAGATACAGAGCTGAAAACCACCAAGGTGTCAAAAGTGTATGTGGCTTAAAAATAGATAAAAGTCAATGTTGAGCTTCTGTCAGACAAACACACTGACACATGATCATAGAGGATATGATGTCACTGATAGGCGACCAATGAAACGTTACCATGATTAAAATCACAGATTTCTCTGGTTTGAGAATTGATGGAAACATTTGTGATAATGTAAGAACTCAACTCAAAAATATATAGAACATAGGTCTAGATGTTTTTAGACATTTTAAAGTGGAAAAGTCACAGATTATAATTATAGGCATCCAATGGAAAGTTATGCTTATGTATCACATACAGTGGTGTGGTAAGAATTTTATATAATATTCCCTGAAATTAACTTTTTATTTCAATAAACTGTTTGTTTCAGGTTAATTTCTTAGCTTACTTTAAAAATACTTTTGTAATAGTAATGATAATAATATATTATGTATATATAATATAATAATCCTTGACAGGAGTGATTTCAACAGTAATTTTAAAGTAAAAGTAATATTTTAGGGCTGCAAAGAACTTTTTAATCATGATTAAATTACTGCAATGTCCGTTGAAAACGCGCTTGTTACGCCAACAATATTTCCACATTTTATTGAGTCATCTAAAAATCATCTCATTTCCGCTGCGCTGCTGTGTTATGACATCAATAATAACAATAATAACAGATCCTGTTTGTCAGATAGCTGATCAGAAAACTCTGGACCACCAATTCAAAAGGATTGCTGTGACATACACTCACTTGCCAGTTTATTAGGTACACTGAGACAAACTGTACATGTCATTATAACGACATAAAGTACAGTAGTGTTAAAGTCAGCTGATCAGTATGCAAAGAGAGAATATTTGAAAATATGACTGGAATACAATGATTTTAATGAATGTTTGTATAATTGACTAAATTGTCTGACAGGACCCAGTTTTCTGCTCTCATTTATTGTATTTCCATATGCCTTCGATACAAGGAGTTACCTGCAAACGGCTGCACCATGAATCTAATGAGTGTGCCGTTGTGAAATGAAAAGCAGAATGATTCAGATAGATAACTATATGTGGCTGCTGTGTGAAACCTTGTCACTCATGTTTTACTGTCGCCACAGTATGTGTGTTCTGTGGGAGGAATAAATGCACATGCCTCCGTTCCTGTTCGAGGCCTTAAACAGTTGCTTAAGTAAACAAGATTTAATTTCCTCATCACGAGAAAAAGCTTGAAATTCTAGAAATGTAATATTGAATTATGAAATCCATATTGGAGTCAAATGCTTATAAAATGAGACCCAGTTCTGTACTGGACCCAGATACGGATAAAACACATGGATCCGTGCTGGTCCATTGTGCCAAATGACATCAGCCCAGGTCCGTTGTGCGGATCTGGACCAGATCTTATGAAGGCTGTGGGCCAGATCTGGGCTGAATCATGTTTGCCAACTTTGGCAGAAAAAGTGGGATGAGGACAGTCAGTGCAAAACATACTCTTGGGTTCAGGTTAGATTTAAATACACCATACACCAAAAGACACTTTGTTTCGGGAGAAGTGAATTCACATATATGTGCACTTTGTAATATAAGTGAAAATGCAGAACATGTATTAATGCACCGTGTCAAACATAATGACGGTAAGTTGTCAATACAGTGAGAGGGATTTGAAGGGACACTAAGAAGAGAGGGGGGATCTTAGTAAACACCGCATCGTTTCATAGAAAATCATTTATTTGTTTTTTATGATAGACTAAAGTAAGATAAACTAGATCCTGTTCTACACGACAGGCGGCGGTATGCACCTAAAAGTTGGTAAGGCAAAGAAGAAGAAGAACGAGTGGAGTGCAGCGTGCTGACGTCACGAACTGGCTCGCCTCTGCTCAGTCAGTCAGAGGAGAGCATCAGTGCAGCAGCTGCCGGGACGAGCAGACACAGGGACCCGGTGATCTGCTGCATCGTCTCCTGCTCTGCCGTCATCTTCTGATCGGTGTTTATTTATTCCGCTCCTCTGAGTCTTCTCCTCCCTGAGCACCAGGGGATGGGGGGGATGAGGGAATGATCAGCACCGACTACCCTCCGCCGTGCCCGCTTCCTCCTCCTCTTCCTCCTGGTCCTCCTCCTGTCTGTCTCTGTGTCCCTTGACAATCGTCGGAGCTCTGTCCAGGATGTGGGCCCCGCTGCTCCGCCAGGCTGCGGTGTTTGCGGCCCTGTTGGCGCTGGGCATGTGCCTGACAGGTAAGACCTGCTGCCACCTGGTTGGTTGGTTGGTAAAGCTGCACAGGGCCTCCAGGACCGCTGTGCATCACCCTGTAATCCTCCCACGCCTTAGATCAAATGATGATAATGTTAGTGTTGTGCTGCTGTAGTGTTTCAGTGGTTTAGTTTGTGCACTCAGTGAGTGTATCATGGCCTGATTGTCTGTTTGTATAATCTTTTGGTAAACGTTTAATATGAAATAATCCGAATAGAATGTGTCTGACTGACAATATAATGAATCTTTAACAAGGAGCAGATCAAACAATTAATGCATTTATTGAGAAATAGTTGACATTAATTGATAATCACTCATTTCAGCCCTAAAGCTTTTGCATTGTTGAGATCTAGTGTTATGATACCCTCCAGTCTTAAAAGAAGTGCTGATAGGATCGGTCAATCAATTGATTATAGGTCAATAAAAATAAAAAAAATGACACCAATTTTGATAATCATTCATTGGGCGTCAATATATTTATCAATATAGAACCATTATCTGGCTCCTGGTAAAACGATCACCTCTGGGAAATCTCAATAGGCATTTTCAGTACTTTATAACCTGTTTTCCATAACGACCTATGTTCTTACTGTTTCAAGTCATATGTCACTTTTTATAATGAATGATTTCACTCCTTTGACTTCTGGATCTTAAGTTATCCCTTACTTGTACTTGTACTTGTACTTGTACTTGTACTTGTACTTTACTTATTAAGTATATCCATTTCATGCTAATACCCAAAGCCTGTAAATAGAGATGGACGTAGCCTCTGTGATGTGACCCACAGGTTTCTGAAGAGTGGTGTTGAAGCTCAGAGTGAGCTGCTCCCATCTTTGCAGTGTCTGACTCCGCCCCTAACTCCCAGCTAATCCAAATATGGACAAAGAGGAGGGGTGTGTGTGGAGCAGAGACTTCGGTGAATTTCGGTTTGTGACAAGCATACGCCCACCCACCTGTCACTCAAAGCAGCACGCCCTCAATTCTCCATAGCTTTAAGCCTTAATAAAATGTAAACAGGTGAGTTATATAAACAGGTNACAGGTTTCTGAAGAGTGGTGTTGAAGCTCAGAGTGAGCTGCTCCCATCTTTGCAGTGTCTGACTCCGCCCCTAACTCCCAGCTAATCCAAATATGGACAAAGAGGAGGGGTGTGTGTGGAGCAGAGACTTCGGTGAATGTCGGTTTGTGACAAGCATACGCCCACCCACCTGTCACTCAAAGCAGCACGCCCTCAATTCTCCATAGCTTTAAGCCTTAATAAAATGTAAACAGGTGAGTTATATAAACAGGTGTCATGAAGGAGGAAATTAGTTCCAGAGACCAAAACAGTTTTTGTACCAGGCTGTAAACATGTTTATTTCTGCTGTAAAGTTGGACATTTTAACATGGGAGTCTATGGGGACTGACTCACTGTTGGAGCCAGACTCTGGTGGTCATTAGAGGAACTGCAGGTGTTGGTGCTTCAGTGTTGGCTTCATGTTTCAGCCTCAGTGGTTGTTTGGTTTACCCTGATGAAAAAAGACAACAGTAATGCTGCAGTAGAGGTTAGTGTGATCCTGTGTTCTTATCGCAGCCAATGAGACTGTAAGACCTCATAGGAACATTTAGTATCATGACAGAGGATTGAAATATTAAAAAGCAGAATGTTTAGGTAAGTTGTGAAAACACCTTAGAACATACTGGTGATTTTTAAAGGCTTTTACACATCTTTGAAATGTGAAGTTGTGGTGCTTGTGTGTTAGTACAGTCACGAGCAGTCATATGCACAGATGACGGCCTCAGTGACTCTGGGCTTCTGAACCCAGTGATGATGCGTGTTGCTTCGTGTGGCTGTGAGACCGTACAATAGAAATCACATTAGGCAGTGAGGTGGGAGAAGGATGATTCAGGGCCACAGAAATGGACGGAACAGGATGTTTTCAGGGTGTGTGAGTGGGTGTGATGGTGGTATCATGGCAGAGGTGTCGGCTGCGGCCTGGCTGTCCTCAGAAACACATTCCTAATGTCAGAGCTCAAGAGCTCCCCGCCACTGACCGTAGATGACGACCATTTCACTTCCCACAATTTACCATGAGATCCACACAAACCCTTTCCTAATCTGAGTCAGCTCGCAAACAGCAGTGTTTGAACATCATCAAACATGCCAAAGTTAAGTGAGTGTAAATGGCATTTAGAGCATTATGTGACATGACTGTGCCACTCTCTACGGAAACAAGGATAGTCATATTGTTTAATGCAGGGTGACACATCCTGATTACAGTCAGGCGAAGCCATGAAATAAAATGTACTGATCCATATGAAATTACACACCATAATGTAAACAGAGCCAGGATTAAAACAACAGTGCAGTGAAATCAAAACACTGCTATGAACCTTCAAGCTTAATCACAATCTTTTTGAATTCTATCATTTAACCCAATTCCCAAGTCATGGTGTAAAGGACCGTGAAGAACTGAGGGAATTTCAGCTTCTTTAAAAGTATGAAATGCAACATTTTTTGTGTCTTACGATAAAGATAAAATCAAATAAGGCAATGAAAAAGAATGTAAAAATAGAATGTATCACCTGCCGTCATATGGATTCATTTAATGGATAAATTGAGGTTTTAGTTGCAGAAAGGATTAATTGAAAAATAAAGTAGCAGGTGTTACTGTACCTCCCAGATGATCAGATATCAGTCGAACCTGAGAGTTCCCACCGGTGTGACTCAGTGACTCAGCCAGAGACACACACCTGTTGTTGGAGTGTGAGATGGTGATCCGATCATCCGCTGTGTTCTGTCTTGTTGCTCAGTGCAGCGCTGCTCTTAACATGATGCATCACACTCACCTTGATGTCCTGACCGTCAGCCAACATTGTGTAAATGTACCATGCAGTGCACCTGTGTGCCATTTTCCTTTAATAGCCTATATATGTATGTATTAGGGTTGTTCATAACCGTTATTGATAGTATCAGTTAAACAGTTAAAATATCCTTATTTTGAGGTTTAATGCTTTAGCGGTGAGAGCAGTATTCTGACTGTCACACCAGAAGTGCATTATCCAGCACTGATCTTTATAATGACCTCATGAATTTATAACATAGAGCTTTTTGTATGTTCTTTAACCCCCGTGTATTGATATTTGTAATGGCTTTCAGAAGCTCATCTATTCTGAATAGTACATTTTAATCTTGCCAGTTAACGAGCGTCAGCGTCCAAAATCATGTTCAATGTTGATCATGTGAAGGCTCTGTGTGGTTTTGTTCTTCTAATATTGTGACTCCTTGGAGTACAGTATTGTCCTAATAATGCACCAGAGGGTGAAGTAACAGTAGGGCCTTGACCCTATACATACATATATATATATATATATATATGTACAGAAATAAACGGGTCAGTGTTGTAAGTCATATACAGGGGCAGAAGTAGAACAGATCTTTGTTTGTCCTCTGAGTTTGTAGTTGGGCTAATTATGAGCCCAATCTGTGAATTGTTGATTTAGAAAACCTCTTCCTTCAGGCTGTTGCTTTGAGATGTGGTGAGGTTTATAATTTGAAGCTGCCAGACAATGTGTTCATCAACATGACTGCCACGGTGCGCACAGTGAGCTACACTGCCACGTCTTCTTCTTCCTTGGATGTGTGTTTTATAATTTGTGCAGCCCTCACGGGCGTCAGCAGCATGCAACTCAATCTTATTAAAGAGTCGGAGGCACCACCTAGTGGCACAGCCAGGTACCACAGCAAACTGCACGTTCTCATCTTCTGTATTGTCGGTTAATATATTTTTTATCAATTCAATTATAAATGGTAGTCAATCAATAATCAATTAATCATTGACGACCCTCTTCCTTTGGGAGTGATTACCATGAAATTTTGACATCTATGGTTTTCAGGGACTGAATCCTGGTGACTTCAGAGTCCCCGCCACTACCAGCAGGCTGACATCTGTTCGAGTGAAGTGTCCTGACATGAGGAGGACTCCTTAATTTGCAACTCAGAAGAACTTACATTTCTCTATTTAAGATGAATTAATTTCAGTATTTTATCTAAAAACTCCTTCAAATATCACAGAATTTTCACCATAATTTAAGAATAAGGCTCATTGCCCCTAGGCTTTCATGTTACTTCACCAATTTTGATATTTTTTAACCCATAAGCCGATAATTGAGAGAATAAGAACACATTAATTTATTCTATTTTAGATCCTTAATCATAAAATAATCAATGTGCAATCTAATGGAATTTGAATGTGAACACATAAGAGCAGATATTTAGGCTCCTTGCTGATTGTCAGTTTGCAGTGTCTCTCAGTCTGTATCTTTCTACATTATTGGATCAGTACAGGTCCTACAGATGATTTGATACAGCTAATTAATCTAAAGTACCATTCATTCACCCAAATCTCTTTATAAATTAGTGTATTCAAAAATTCCAATTACTGTTATAGAAACTTCTTTAAATATACATTTCATTTTAAAAATACATTCACACCTTTTTAAGATATCTGAACATTATTATTTTTGTAAATATGGATTTCAGATATATTTTGCATAAGTGCCTCCTGTGCTAGGTTGTCTGGTGACACATGTTAAGTATTTGTGCACATCAGTGACCCGGGACAGAATATGTCGGGGTTTCCTAAAGGAGTTTCACTTTCACACAGTTCGTTCCATTCCTGTCAGTTTGTGTCCTTTCTGGAGTCACAGTGTTCCACCGTCTCTTACAGAATTACGTGAGATTGAACAACCTACACAACGCATTTGAACATGCATGGCCGTCATTCATACACATGCCTACACATACACACACACACACTTGTGCCAGTACACCATTGTCAGCGAGCTACCATGCGGGTTTAGGCCTGAAACATGGGGAGCAGTTCTGGGTTCAGTGTCTTGCTCAAGGACTCATTGACGTGTGAATTACACTTGGATTTAGGTCAGAAGGAGCTGGTGATGGTCTCCAGCTCAGCACAGCTCAGCACGTTTCAATTTAAAGACAC